TTCACTTTTAATCGGTATGATAAAAAGAGTTCGCACTCAGTCAATGTCAATTTGTTTGAATGACTGCTTTTGGCTTCAGCGTTTGATTTGCCTATTCCGGAACGCGGGAGGGATTTTGGCATATTTTATTACGTATTGCACAGGATCGAGTGAGTTTCCGGTGGTTGGCACATCTCTCTTCATTCTTTACTCTTGCTTGTGAAATGGCTCTCTCGGCTCTTGTGCTTCGCTGACCCATCTGTTGACATAAATCCGACAAATTTGAGCACATAGGGGCATTTTACTCCGTCTTCATTTGATTTAGTCAATCCTCTGATCGTTTTTTGTTTTTAGATAATGTGCCTTAAATTAGATTTCTAGATCTATTGTCCTTTTATTTATCTAAGTTGAGTGTGAGTTGTTTAATTGCGACTAGCGAGATAATGTGGTCAAAACCAGGATTTGTGTGCTTGTTTTTCTACAAACGTGCCTGAGGCTTTTCCTAGATCTATTTGAACGTTTTCAGTAAGCCTGGAAAAATGACGAATCGAAATGCCAATTATAAGCTTGTGCTTCTGGGTGAATCCGCAGTAGGCAAATCAAGCATCGCCCTTCGCTTCGTTAAGTCACAGTTTCAGGAGTATCAAGAGGCTACTATTGGTGCTGCCTATCTCACTCAGTCAATTGTTGTTGGAGATCCTCCAGTGACAATTAAGTTCGAAATTTGGGATACAGCGGGTAAGTTGCTTTAAGATTTTTTGGAAAAAAATCTAGTATTGATATTCTGGAACTTTGAATTGCGTCTGCTCATACATTTGGTAAATTCACTTGAATCTTGTCGTGATCACATCTGTTGTAATCAGTTTTCATTTACTGTTTGTATACTCATCATTTGTTTTGACGCCCCATCTGTTGCAGCCCTTAAGTGTGACTATTTTCAGGTGCTTTATCCTTTGAGCAATAGTTTTTTCTACCAATTTCTCATGCTCTTTAAGGCAGCTGAGGTGTTAAGATGCTTTGCCAAATTTACTTTATTAATTCAAACATCTGGTCTTTGATTCTTTTTGAAACTGGCGGTGAAATTCCACTAACTTCTATTTCTTACATTCTATCTGTGCAATCTCTTGCAAGGCCAGGTTATCTCGAGCTGTTTATGTTTCTATCTGCATCGCACACGAACAGTCAGAATTGGGGGGTATCCTTTGTGTGTATATATTTGCGCCCGCGTGGCTGTAGCCTTGTATCTATTTTCGAATTTTCAGCTAGTTGTAGGCCTGCTAAAACCGTTCATCCGTTTTGCTTCACTCTACAGGGAATGTATGTCAGCATTCAATACATTTCTATGTTCTTCACACCTTGCATTGGAGTTCGCCTAATTATATGCGTAGTGGGCCGCGCCATTAATGAGTTTTGCTAAACGCTTAGTAAGGTTCCGCAGTTTCTAATCTGATCCCACTTAAATGCGCCTCTTAAAATGAAATGTTGCATGTATCGCTGCCATACATCCAGTGTCTTCACTCTCTCAATTGTGCTTTGTCTACACTTCTTCATCCTAGTATTTTTAAGTTGAGCTTTGTTTAATTTGTGCTTTCGCGTTTCTCATGTTTCTCGCTTCCTAAGCCTGAGGTCTTAAAATACGGCTGTCTCATACCCCCTTGAATTACAGGTGACCTTTAAGCTCACGTCGTCTGCATAATCAGGTGGCCTTTGGGAAGTTTTAAGTGCCCAATCCGTTCATTGCTTCAAAGTAGATAAAATTGAAACGCACTTGCAATGAATAGCGTTGTCCCAAAATCACCTTGTTCGATTAAAGACATTTTTGGTTTTGTATTTGTAAATTGTCTTCCAGTAATTCCCTAAACTTGGTAACAAGTTGAATACCTTCTGGCAGATCGTTTAGCCATCATTCATATTTCTCTCGGCTCTTTGATGCTGAAGGAAAAATTATTGAACCGTTCGCACTGTTTTTCCTCATTACTTTATTAAATTGATCACTCTTCATGCTTAAGGGCAAGAACGTTACCACAGTCTTGCACCCATGTACTATCGTGGAGCCCACGCGGCCGTAGTGGTCTATGACATAACCAATCTACAGAGCTTTGAACGCGCTACCTCTTGGGTCAATGAACTCCGCGAGAGGGCTCCTGGTGTCAAGGTAATTGCACTGGCTGGAAACAAATCGGATCGCTATCAAGAGCGCGCTGTGTCCGAGCTTGTGAGTTGATCATTTAATTTTCCGCTCTTCCGGTGCTGCAGTCCTATTTCCTCCATACGTATCCAGCCTCAGGTTTGTCATACAACCTTACTTTTGGTGTGATTCGTGAATCACGCAACATTTTCGTTACCAAATTCGCTTTGCCTGAAGATGTCAAAGAATGCATGGAGCATAGTCTGGCGTTTAATTGTTAATTCAAATTGTTTAATAAGAATTAATTAAAGTTGAATTACTGAAGGTCATTTTCCGCATTACTTGAAAGTAATTGAGGGATGCATTTCAGTAGTGTAGCTCTATTGTGAACTGTTAAAATTTAATCGAAACTCACTAAGGATCTGTTTTTCAAGAACATTGTATTTCGAAGCTTATACTTGGACCTTAAGTGTCAAATAACAAAAAAAAGATTCAAAACTGGATTCAGTTAATGTGACTGTTAGCTTGCATTAGCCATCATTTAGTTATTTTCTAGCATTTAAGTGTTACCAGTAAAAAATCCTCATACCGTTTTCGGCTTGAGTTTAAAGTTCACGCTTTAGTTCCGTAGAACTTGGTGATCAACTGTAAAACCCTTTATACCTCTGTGCGATACAGCGGAACTTCTTTTTCCTTAGGATGCCAAGAAATACGCCCAAGAAAACGGACTTCTATTTAAAGAAACGTCTGCCAAGCTGTCTACAAATGTTATGGAACTGTTCAAAATGATCGGTAGGCTTTTATTCATGCTGTATTATTGGATGTTCTTTCCCTTCCAAGGCGTGTTGTGCGTTAACATTTTTGCTAATTCTTTGTCATCCATTGTCCTTCAGAATAACAAGGTGTCCTAAAAGTTTACATGGTCTTCCACCTGTTAAATTTGTTAATTAGCTGATTCACAAGACCATGGCTTGTACTTTGCCTCTTATAACGATTGATTGGTTGTCCTATTCACTTCCTTGTTCCGTCGTGGCCTTGTTATTGCGTTATAGTGCGTCAGAGGGATGGTTCCCTTTTGTCCATTGTCAGCAACTCTGCAGTACTATTACTCGATGGCTTGCCCCAACTTTCCGACTATATGGATGTTTACGTCCACCCGTCTGGTCGTCATTTTCACAGCAGTCGGTTTTGGACGTGTTTGATTTGAGTTAGGGATTTGGGCATTTATGATTGGACGTCTTTTGTCATGAATTGATATTGAGGAGGTTTTTAAAAGGGACTGATTTCCCCTTTTTTATTAACATTTTTGGGATATGAATGGATTTATTATTGCAAATTTTTATGCTCTTGGAGTGTGCACTCAAACGTTATAAGTAGATGTGTTTTCCTGATTTAGCCGAATCTTTGCCCCTTTCTGAGCCACCTCTGGCCAACAGTGGTACAACGCGACTGGGTGCAACTCCAGATCGTCCAGCCGGCGGCTCAACGAAGTGTTGCACTTAGATGATATCAAGCGAACCGGTATCCTTGGTTTTTCATTCGTCAACTTGTCCTCTATAATCGTCAGTTGGTCCATCCCCCGTGATGCCTTCTTCACTTTCTTGCTTTCTAACGACCCCATTGTACATTACACAATTCACACCCACCTGTTAGTGCGCAAGTGGTTACACTGATACTGTTCTTCCTTCCTCCTTTTCCCTCCTATCTGATTGGGTCGTCCTACTTTAAATTTTGTTTCTTCTGATCACTTACTCGTAATAAACTCATCATTTCTCATACGCATCCGACTCACTCTGGCTCTATACAATTATACTCACCATAGCTGCATCTATTTGTTACTATTATATCCACACATGGTCGTGATCATTTGTGTTTGCTTTCAGTTTCGCAATAGTTACCGATTTGTCATTTCTTGAATCACTTTAATTCATTTTAGTGCTTCATGAATAGCAACAGTCACTTACTAATATCGTCCAAGCTTTTTATGTCAAGTGTCAAAATCGGTTGCGCTACATTGGTTTAGGTAGTTTACTGCCCGAAGTTGGGTGTTTAACTTTCATGTTCACTCAATCTTAAGTCTTTTTCTTGGAAAGTTGGTGGTAGTTTTTCCGATTCCTCACTTAATTTGATTAGAAGCGATCTTTTGAGTAAAGATAGGAAAACTCACATTCACACGATTAGCATGTTTACGTTGCTTCCTCAGCTGTTTTGTGATTGACCCCTGCAAGCCCGAACGTATTACCTTTCTGACCCGTATCACATCATAGTGGCTAAGCTTTGTCGTCACTGGTGTCTCCATTTTGATGTTAATGAACCAGACACCAAATGGGTGCACTTTTTCCGTAATTTGGTCATCTAGTTAACAGCAAGGAACATTATCATTGTATCTATTCTAATTTCTTCGTCTGGAACTAGTAAGTAATTCCAATTTTATGAAATCTCAGCCGTTTCATTGCTTTATTGCGGCTTGGAAAAGTTTAAAGTGAAGTAAAATTCTACAACTGAGGAGAGAAAACGGTGGAGTGAAGCGTCGGCGTTCAGGTCATCGTAGACGGCATCCGAGTGTGGAGGGCGACTGGGCCTTGTCGACAGGCAAAAATTGGGGTACATTTTTCAGACTTTAGTGGCATGCGAGCACGCCTCGTAGCATGGGCCTTTTTTCCATTTACCTCATGAAACGAACTGGAATTTCAAGGAAAATGAATTTAAATAGTTAACTTCGACACCTATGCATTTACCTCCTCTGTAAGCACTCTGTTAATTTCATAATTGCCTCCTACGAATTGACCTATGAGCAAAAATGTAAAGGCTGATGGCAAGTTTGAAATATGATGTTGGTACCGTTGGAGGGTGCCCAGTAAAACTCTGTTGGGCAGTATTTTTTACTGGCATCGCAACTCTACTCATTAATAGCTTCGAAAATGAAGCATAAAATTATGGGAACTCATCTATCCAGCTTCCGAATAACGGTGTTTTCGTCTTTATTTTTAAATCCAAAAGGATTGTGAGGATGGAGAGCTTTCATGAGCTAGTCTAAAGTAGACTTTATGCAATAAGTAATCTGGCATCTCTGGTCGGGGCACTTTTGTGTTCTACTCCAACTTTACACGGTTTCACCGAGGCTCTTGTCAAAATTTAAGTCGCTTGAATGCGGAAAATGAACTTTTTCCTAGAGGTTCACATGATGACACAAACGGGTGTGCATTCGTGTGGTCCAGATGTAATTTTATTTACTTTTTTATGGCCATACAGACACATAAGTATGACACAGTGTGGATTTGTGCTAGCCAAACACTACCCAATGCAACTGCGAAGTTACGTTAAATCGCTCTGCGGTAAGTTATTAAGAATGTTCTTGTTGTAATTGCCGGACAGGCAGTGAATTTCGGTCTCACAAAAATGGCATAAAAGCTGACAGCTATCCAGCACTTGGAATCAGACAAAGGCAGCACAATCTCACCCATTGGCCACTGCAGTCATTAACCATTGTATTTTGGTGCCAAGACCTCTTATCCACACGCTAATAACATTCTGACTGGCCTCTTAAATTGCTTTGCTGACGCATTCTAAGTCTAATTAGGCAATGTGAAATTGACGCTTAGAATGGTCATCGTCTATTTTGCTGCGTACTTCATCCTATTCAGTGATGCGGTTCATTCAACTGGACGATGAATGTGTGGTGCTAGATCCGACTCCTCTACCACTTCTTTACTCTCGACCTTAAGGGCACGAAGCAGATCACGTCTCTTCCTTCGCAAGTTATCAAAGGACTGCTGCCCTTCTCAGAAAAAGAAATTAAAAAGGCTGAAATGGTCATTTTTCCAAGCTTATTTAATCATGTCAAAAGTTTTATGGGTTGCATCGTCTATGTGGATCCTTGTTTCGTAAGAAAAGGCTCTCGTGATTGACTTTCTTTCGTTGGGCGGATCGCGAATTCATACTAATGATAGCCTCGTCATTCGACCCCTTTATATCATATTTCAATCATCACAGTAAGGAAGAATGCTGGTTTCGTACAGTTCACGTGTCCTTTGGTTCAAATACTCTGTGAGGCTTATTTGCTTATTTTTTCCTCGGTTTTTCGAGATTACCAAAAAATGGGTTCACACTGTTGCTTTTAGTTAAAAAGCAAAACGATTGCTTTTGTAAGCAGAGCAGATTCATTGGACAACCACACTTTTGAAATTTAGCCCTTTAGAAATGGCGACATGTGAAAGAGAATTGGCAACGACTCTTCTCGATTCTCTTACTATCAATCATGGAAAAGGACAATCAAGTATTGCATGGAGCATCGTCAAGTTGCGTATTGCATTGACTAAAACCTGTTTAACAGTAACTTCAATTGGGAAACTTGGCATTCAAATTGTGTTCTAGTAAAAGCAACCGATTAAAGGGTTTGGAGGTGTACTGTATCCCAATTCTTGCCTCAAAGTGCAAGCACAACCCGTGGAAGTTGAGCGAATCCGAGCTTCACTACTGGCTTGGGCGAAGATGCGGGCGCTGGGAGAGCGTGCGTGCATGCGTTTGTGAGAGAGGGCCTGAAAGGGGGGCTGCGAGAAGAAGGGGGGAGGGTGGTGGTGGTGGAAGGTGTGCATGTGCGCGCGCGTTTCAAGGAATGCGATTGTTTCCGTGGGAGGAACCAGACAAGTGGCTCTTTGATGTGCCGAATTTGATGGCGGCATGTCCATAAAATTGCCTGCCTTTTTTATAGTCCTCACTCCTCTCTTCCTCCTCCTCCTCCTCCTCC